TCTTAATAAGGCAAAGATTTAATAAATATTTAATTTAATATACTTTCTATCTTGAGTAAAAGTCTAATCTTTTCAGTATTTATTATTGTTAGTATGTTGTAGACTTATTTATTTAGTAAGACAATTTAATAGATATTCAGTTTAATATACTTTCTACCTTGCGTAGGGATTTGTCTAATCTTTTAGATATCTATTATTTTTAGTATATTATATTCATTCATTTAATAAAGTAAAAATTTATGAAGTCCATATGATGCATGTGCGCGTACATATATTTTTTTTTCAATTTTTTTTTGTTAATTTTTTAATAAACAACGAGCGACGGTTAAAACTATCTGAAGATCACTCAAGGTCATGACTTTGACAACATATGTCAAAGTCAAAGTCATTGGAGTAGTCTCCCTTCATCTAATATTTACCAAAAAATATATATATGTATATAAGTTTATTTAAAAAAAATCGATGTGACTTTGACAACGCCAGCCAAGGTCAAATCAATGATACCTTCTTATGTCTCCCTCTGAATCATACAGTTTTATCATATATATCATAGTTTTCGAGAAATCTTAATACATTATTTAAAATGTAATTTATTATATATAGAGTAGGCCATTTTAATGTCCCACTTCAAATATCTTTTTTCCTATGCCTTTCACCAAAAAATGTTTCAGATAAAAGTTTTCGGGCTTTAAGAATGTATAATACGTACAATAGTAGCAAAAAGTTAAGGAATTTGATTTTGACGAATATGCTCTTCTCATATATAGTTTGAGTAATATAAGGATTGTGCTTATCATTTATTCAAAACTAGAGCGCAGAAATGCTTCTGTTGCTTATTTTCTGAGAATTTTTGAATTTTCGAGAATCTTTTGAGAGTGACGGTACCTCAAATCGACCAAATCCTACCTAAAAATCCAAATTAAAATCCTTATAACTTTGAATTGCTTCAGTGAATCGACTCTGGCTTTTGTCATGTGTCCGAATATGTATATAAATAATCTGTAAAATTTTTGTTAAATTCTTAATATTTTAGAAATTTTCTTTATAAGAATTTTTGATAAATTATTATTAAGGGGCAAGGGCCCTTCCTAATCACCACGGCCATATTGGACTCGTGACATTAGAAGCGAGAAACAGCGAGAAATAACACGTAAAAGTTTGTTGCGTGCCATTTTTAAATAAAGAGAATTTGGATAAAATTAATAAATAGGATTGCTTTAGAAAACTTGCAAAAATAGATGGAAACTATCCTTTTCCCCCCTAAAAGTCAGTAAATAGTCGTAAAAGGAAGTCAAGCTTATTCAAGCGAGAAAACTCACGATTTGACAGCTGTTGAAAGGAACGGAAAAGATACTTTTACGTATAAAATTCGACAAAAACTATAGTTTACATCCATTTTTACGACTTTGATAAATACGAGACAAGTTACATTTTCACAATTATAAGCACATAATAACGAAATGGCACGCAACACAAAATTCGTTGTCAATTCGACTGTGATTGATCAATAATTACACTGCTTACGATATCGGCATACAATATATTCTGTAGAATTATCACGGTTTATGACTTAAAACACCGATGTATAGCACGTATTATTGGACGGGCCTAATATGACAAGAGCTTCTAATTTCTACCGGGATATAGCGTCGCCACCGTCAACGCAGAGTTCGTGGCTGACTAGGAAGGGCCCTTAATATTTTAGAAATTCCTTATAAGAATTTTTAAAATATTAGGAATTTAACAAAAATTTTACAGATTATTTATATATATGTTCGGAGACTTATGACAAAAGCCGGAGTCGATTCACTGAAACAATTCAAAGTTATAAGGATTTTAATTTGGATTTTAGGTTGGATTTGGCCGATTTGGAATACCGTCACTGCCAAAAGATTCTTGAAAATTCTCAGAAAATAAGCAACAGAAGCATTTTTGCGCTCTAGTTCTGAATAAATGATAAGATTCTGCACAATTCTTATTACTCAAACTATATGAAAAGAGCATATTCGTCAAAATCAAATTCCTTTAACATTTTGCTACTATTGTACGCACATCCTTAAGGGGCACCCTTTCCTTTTGGATAGCAGTATTATTGTGACCTTGGGTGGTGTCATTAGGGTCAGGTCAAAGTTCATAAATTTTTTTAAATGGAGCACCTAATTTTTGATTCCAGAATCTAATAGTAGGTGTCAAGAGCTTTTCAAAGCACTATAATAAAGTACTGTTAGGTTAAGTAAATTTCGAGTTATGAAGCTTGAAAGTTACAGTACCTACCGCCGTTAGCATTATCCGGTGTTCGAATGGCTAAAACTTTTTGAATATTGTTCAGAATCATGAGCTTGACAACATATGTCAAGGTTATGACCTTGGAGGTTGTTCCTCTTTTTTTCAAAAAATGACAATTTTCAAAAATGAAAATAAGAGCAACAACTGTTAATGGCCTTGATCTTGACATATGTTATCAAGATCATGACCCTAAACAACATTGAAAAGTTTTAGCTATTATTCGGACACTTTGAATAATGCTAATGCCGGCGGTACTGTAACTTTCAAGCTTAATAACTCGAAATTTACTTAACCTAACAGTATTTTATTATAGTGCTTTGGAAAGCTCTTGACACCAGCTATTAGATTCTGGAACCAAAAATTAGGTGCTCCATTAAAAAAAATTGATGTGACTTTGACCTGACCTTAATGATGTCACCCAAGGTCACAATAATACTACTATCGAATGTGCCCTTTAAAACCCTAAAACTTTTATCTGAAACATTTTTTTAAAAAGGCATAGGAAAAAGATATTTGGGACATTAAAATGGATCCTATACAGGATGGGGCATCTAAAACAAAAAAAAAACACCGAAATGGAGTGTCAAAGCGTGAGGGATACTATGGAACAAAAATATATCCGAAAAGTATTTTCGGATAAAAGGCGTCAAAATTTAAAAACAAAATATTTTATTTTTTAAATTACCTGTTCTTGTACTTAAATAATTGTTTTAGTAATTTAATAGATATTAAAAATGTTAATTATAAAAATCTAATGAATAAACGGCTCGGTAATATAATCATAAATTAGGATCGAGAACTAAAGGCCAAAAATGAGCAAATTGTAACTAGGGGTTATCTTCCTTATTACATTTCAACATTACATGTTAATTATTTACTGTTAAAGTATATGTTTCATTAAGGAAAGAAGGCTATAAATTGGAGTGCTCGAAGATCATAAGCTTCTGAATGCAAATTTTATAAACGCGGTTATAAGATATACGTGTTTATTAGTTTAACAGGATTATTAACTTTTTATGTATGCTCGAAACTGTTCAATAAAAATCAAGAGTATTAAAGCTTTACCTAGCAGAGGAATGGTCAATACTGATACTTCTAGGTCTTGGCGGTAGTGCCGGTTTTCTTCCATTTCCATTCGACGAAGTATCCTCTGAACTCGAGTCTTCTTGATTTCCCACTTGACTTAGATTAACTACAAAAAAATATATTTTAAATAAACAGCATTATATTCGTCATATTCATTAATACACTTATAAAGATTTATAAAGTGAGAATTTAAATTTACCAGTCGAAAATGCTCCTTGCATTCCTCTTCTTCTTAAAATTGATAAAACATTGTTACTAGAAGAACTCAATTTAGTTTGATTGATTTTATTTTGAGAACTGATCGTCGGTCTCATTAAACCACTTGTCTTGGTGTTGATGCTAGATTGACCACTCCAGCCTCTATTTCCCCCTGTTATACCAGCATCCGATTCCGAGTCGCTCTACAAATTACAATAATTTTTATTTAATATAAATTATAAATAACTTTTGTTTAACGTATATCATCTGCACGCACGTATATATGTGTGTAAAAGGGAAGGAGTGTAATTTTCGATGTTCTTATTGCACATGTCAAATAACATACTTGATTTAAAACACCAACACTGCTGCTTCTCGTTATATGAGTGGAGTGATTTTTTCCTGAAACATATCTGGATTGGCTGCTAGGATTGACACCTCCTAATCTTGTTGCTGCGCTTATATTTTTATTTCCTAATTTTCCTGAAACTATTGTCACTAATTAAGAAAAAAAATTTACACATATTTTATACATATATTTTTAATGTATTTATACAAAAGACAAGTATATTTATAAAATACCTAACAAAAATCTACTTTAATAAAAATAACTCATCGAATAATACAATTAATTCATTGGATGTAAAAGCAAATATATTATTCATATAGAACGATGAGAGATACCTTGTACAGGACCATGCAATAACCTATTTGAAGGACTGATGGAAAGATCACTCAACGAACAGGCGCGCCTCATGCCACCCTCTTCTTCTTCTTCGCTGTCAATAACTTTTGACGAGATTCGCCCCCCACTACTGCCAACTGTTGACAACGCGTACACACATGCACTAATCGCTACTATTTGCATGATGCATTTCTTTTCTTTTCTTGGAAATGTTTTGAGGAAATTTGTTTAATAAATAATTAAATAAATTATGATATATAAGAATTGTTTTTTCATTGACAGAAAAAATATATACAATGTAAAAAATAATAAAATTTATAAAATAGAATAGAATATATGGAATATACTTAATAATTTTTCTTTATGTGTATAAGATCAAGTTCAAAATAATTTTAATTTTAAACAATTAATATAATTGCTTTAACTTGCAGTTTCTTGCATAAAGTAAATAGCTTCTTGTAAAAATAAATAACAAAATGAGACATAATAAAGAGCAGGATAGTGTTGGAAGGGGAGAAGGATAATGTTGTAACGTAATGAGAACATGCGATTGCATTCCGTGCAAAATGTAAAAAAAATATTAACAAAGTCTTCACATAACTCGAAAGGCATTCAAACTGAAAAGTAAGATGCTGTCGTCTTGAAATAGTTGAAATAAAATCGAACGCGATTGTTCATAAGCAATGAATAAATAAACGATATTTCATTAAGAACAATTCACTTTCATAAATACAAAAGTACTTCAAAAAATTAAACATTAAAATATAAGAAAAAAATTCATCAATCTTTAATATAGTCTCTTTCTTGTTCTACGTAACATCCAAAATTTTATTAGCTAATTGATACCATCAGAATAAAATTTATTTCATTACTCTTTGATCTCTATTACTTCCTTGCGTTATTTTGATACATTTACACCAATAAATACAACAATAAATAATGCCAATTATTCAGAATTGTTGAAAACAGAATTAGAACCAGTAAATTTGAGGAAAAAAAAAAGATTCTTCAGTAATCAGTCTGCTGCAAGAAAACCAGACTTTATATTGCAACTCAAGCCATGAAAATACTGAAAGAGCTCAAAATTAAAGTTTTGAAGCAATTACTATTTGTTACTATGTGCAACGTCGATCTGTTACCATGTAAGCATTATATTTTTAAACTGTTGAAAAGGGCATTTTGAAAGAATATTTTCTTCTGATGACAATGTTAAAAAAAAGTAAATAATTTACTGTAAAAATTAAATATTTTATTCATATGGCATTAATCAACTAATGAAATGTTGGACATATTTATATAAAATAAAGAAGAGACTGATGTATTTTAATAATTCTAAAAAGGAGGGTTGATAGGAGATTTATACGAGTCAAATTAAAGGCGAAATTTCTGAATTTATTTCAAGGAAAAAAACAAATATAATTCTCCGTTATGTTCTCTGTTATTACTATATAATATTTCATATTTCATATATACTATATCATATTTCAAATGTAGAAAATTAATTTGTAATATATAGGTATACAAAATTATTACAAATGTAAGAGTTTTTCTATTATTAAAGACAGACGTGGAAATTTCGAATGTATTACGTTTTATCACATTTTTTTCATTTAATTTTTTACATCTCAATATAATAATAAATAACATTTAAACAAAAAATTGTGTCCACATATTCTTTTCCCTAAAATAAATATCGCCTTTAATTTAACCATATAAACTTGCTGTCCCTCATTAATATATTTTTTGTTAAAAAATTCCAATTATTTTTTGAACTACCCTTGTATATATTTTTATACGTACTATATAATAGCGTTTTTCCTTGGGACTGCACTCGCGCAGTTTTTCCTATAAGAGCAATGTTAAAATCTGTACTGCCTCCGTGCAGATTTTAACACTGCTTTTATGTGGAAAACGCCATAAGTGTGTACATTTACAACACAACGGGATATATGTACATATAATAAAAAGTATTTTTTCAGTAAACGATTTAATGCGTAAACTTCTACTTGATTTTGGGACACTACACGTAAAATTTAACACGTAAAAAATATATGCAAACATTTTCTCGGTTGATACCTGCATAAGGATGCTTCGTGGAAAGTATCGTTTGATTAATCGTCGGTAGAGTTTTCATCCACTTTGTGTGACTCGGACATCGCGACGCGGGCGGCCACATTCTCTTAGGTGAGTTAGTGCAACTCGAGGCGGATGTGGAAGAACCGCTCTCCATTAGCGATCTGTCCATCGCCGACACGTCAGCGCAGTCGCTGTCCTCGCCGCACGAGTGTAACCGTATATCACGCCTAATCGCACAAAATCTACTATCTCGTTCAGCTTCCAACTTGGCAAAGTTTTCGCTAGTCTCCTGACCATGTGTCAGTCGCATATACTTCTCTTTCGTTAAGTACTGCTTTTGCTTTACTAGATTCTCAAATTCCTTTGAAAGTAGTTTTACAGTACCCTCGATTGCGCGAGTTATTCTAAAATCCACGCTCTTATTGAAATCATTGATATGTTCGCTCGTGGATTGTAAATTCGAACTACTCCCGAGCGATAGCTCTTCTCTTTGCAGGTCGCAGGAGACTCCTTTGGGCTCTAGTGAATCATAAGTTTCGTACATATCTTTCGTTGGAACGTTTTCAAATAAATTTACTTGCTCTTTATCATAAGATGCGCACTGTCCTTCCCTCGTATCATGAATCTTCGTTATATGATGATTTTTTGTTAAACGCGACAAGTCGTTTCTGTCATACATCAGCTCATCCTGCAAAGTACCGTTCTTATCGATGCGACATGTCTGTAGACTGTAAAATTCACCTCCACTATCTTTATTATCATCAGATTGCAGCGCAGACTGTAAAAATTGTTGCATTACTTCCGAATCAATCGAATCTCGCTTAATTTCTCTATTGTCCTGCGTAGCACGATATTCGGAACAAACTGAACTCATGGAAGACGCCGTGTAATTGTCGGAATCAGCGACGCTTTTTAAAGCAGGTGATGAGGACGGAGTGTCAATATATTTCCAGGTTGGTCTAACTCTGTTACGCATGCTCTGAGTACGAGACGAGTTTCTTTTAGGTTTCGGTGGTTTGTGAGCAACAAAATCATTCAAGATCATCATTGATTCTGGTTTCGTAGGCACTTTCAGATTACTGCTACGCGAGATAGTTTCCGAACCGTTGCAAACCATCGCATCCACATCGTCCTTGTGTTCGTTGTCAAAATTCAATTCACAGTAAACATGAGTTTTCAATGATGCGTTATCCTCTACAAAATTCGTGTTGTCCCTTGCTTTGTTGATTCTAGTGTCCTGCAAAGATTTTGATCTAAACACCGTTCTGTGCAATGTATTTTCATTGGCAAAGCTTTGTGTATCATCCGTGACAGTCTCTACAATATTATTAGGATTTCCGCTGTAGGTTTCAGAATTTTGCCTTTTTCGCTTGTAATGCGAGTCAAACAACATTTCCAGGGGTGCAGATTTCACCAAGGAGTCCGAATCATCGGTTAACACGCTCTCTGTGCTTCGATGATCAGCGTTCTGGCGTAATGGAAACATCTGATAATCCGACTCGTCGGTTAATATGCTTTCTTGACTTCTGCCTTCCTGCATCTTACGTCGAGACAAAAAGAAGCTTGCACTCGAGTGTCTGTCATGATCATAATGGTTATAATCCAAGATTTCAGCACTTTCTTTAGAGAACGACTCAACGGAGGCATCTGAAAGTATGCTTTCTTGAGAGCTAGTTAAAATTTTTTTCTGGCTATTCTGATAATTCGAATAACTTCTGCAGTCATTCATGTGGAAGTTTATTTGATAATCACTGACGCAACGTCGAGGCGGATTCTTGAAATCTCCTTCCAATGAATCATCACTGAAATTGCCATTTCCTTCGTCAGAATCATCAACGGTCTCTTTAAGATTTTCCACATTACGTTCATTCATAGCAGGTAAGCTTTCGAAAGATTTTGCAACATTCGCCATATCTTTCTCATTATCATTCAGACCGATAAAATAGCTACAAGATCTTCTTTTCTGGGCAAATCTTGCAAACCGACTTATGTTCTTCTTACACTGCTCTTTCAACAGTTTTAATTCTTCGCATACAGGAGATTCGGGTAAAGATTGATTAGCCTTATTCAAGGACAGCTTATACTTTTCAGTTTTTTTTAATGTCAACGTTAACGGACGGTTAAGGACTGTTTTTGCTTTCTCATTGATGCACAACATAGTTGGACTTTTCGACAAGCGGTTTTTATTTGGTATCTCTAGCTTAGGTAATGCATTCCCCATACCTTGAACCTTGTTAATGGATTGCTGGGATTTAAACGTGGGCTTTGGATTTAGCATAGGTTTGCAGGGATTAATTGGTTTTGAAAATTGATTTTGTTGACCGGATCTGTTACCTGTGTTGAGCCTATTCGAACGATGATGCTTTTCCTGTATGTGACTGCTCAAATCAGATATGCTTTGGCTGGATTTTAGTAACGATCTATAACCAACCTGCAAAAGTAAGAGTCAAGTTTTATTACAAAAGTTCCTGTAAAATATTTCACTTTTCTCATGTAAAGATCATTACTCACACTTTGTAATTTTCTTCTGGTTTCTTCTATCCTCCTCTGCAACTCCTCCCGTTTTTTAACAACATCAATGTCGCCTCTTGCATGTTTTGTTGCATTAACCACTGCTGCATTATGTATTTTGGCAGTGGTGTTACCTTCAACACCACTGAGTCTATAACAAACCAAATTAATCAGTAATCCACAATTGTTAAAATAATGATCTATTATATACTATTATACAATTTCAACTTATCAAATATTATTTTACCTTCCGTGAAACTGAGAGCTAATACTTGTTGCTTTTACACGATTTGATGGTTCCTCCGCGCCACTAAGCGATTCGAAGGCATTCTTCAGATATTTTTCTCTGTGACTTTGTTTAGCAAGCTGATCAAAACCTTCCGAGCTAGCTTCAGATAACATAGATAACGGATTTCTCTCGGCGCTAGGAGTTGATGCTCCGCCTTCTGAATCAGATTCATCTTGACTACCAGATGCGGTTAATTCGCTTGTCCGACCATTTTCTGCGTTTTTCAACTTTCGTTGGCGCCTTTGCGACCTATGTATACAAGATACTCTTTGCACTATTCAATAAAAAAAAAAACACATGATAAAAAACTTAGATATATTGAATCAACAACGAACCTTCGAAGCTCTTCAACGTCCATCGCATTAACCGTAAACTGATTTGACACAATATCTTCTGGTGGGGGATAATACATTAATCTATGGTGTGACTTTTCAGAACCAGTTGTTCCATTTTCTCCTTCGGAATAATCTTCGACATCCCCGTCATGTTCAGTACTTTCATGATCCTGAATGACATATATCTTTTGATAAAAATATGGCAAAGCATTATTTATTTAATTTATTGACAATTAAATTAAAAACATAAATAACACATAAGCTATAAGTAACACATTAATGTCAATTGAGGATAAATATCGGCAGAAATATTATTTTTATACAACATATAATACATTTTGTTATGCTTGAAAAAACGAATTTATAAATTATTTTCTTAACAGATTATTTTTCGGATAATAATTTTGGAAATTATGTTTCATGTTTTTAGAAAAATATACCTCAAATTTAAAGCTGCCAAGACTGCTATCATCGGTGTGATGACGACTCCTCGATTGACGTGTCAATTCCGTAATATTGTTACTTCTTACTGTAACCTTATCGCCAATCAGCTATATCAGTGATTGAAATAAAATATGATCAATGAAATAAATATAAAATTGATTATAAACCAAATTACCAAAACAAAATTAAACGATTAAAAAAGCACAAGCAAAGCAAAAGAATCGATAAACAAAAATGAATCTGCTTAAAAAGACAATAATACGATTAAACAATAATACTCATACAATTTTAATTATTTACCTGTTTTGTTTCATTTTCTATCTCTCTATAACTTTTGGGACAAGGTTGAAATATACTCTCCTCTTCTTCCTAAAATCGTAAAAATATTAATATCCTTTTCTTACAAGGAGAGGCTCAGACGTAGTAATTTTAGAAAAATCTGAAACTTATGGTACGTGAAGTGCATCACTTAGACATTATTTTGGCCAAGCAGTAAGACGCACTTTTCAGCCAATGTCGAGAAAAAAATTTTTTTAAATTTTAATATTTGTCATTTCTATTTAAAATTGATCAAATTTATAGTAATCAACGGATATTCAATATAAATATATGAAAAATGCACATTTCATTTATAATGTAACGAAAATTTACGACAAATAAAATTTAATGCAACGAGAGCAAGCAAATTAAACCAACGTAACCAAAATAAAATATTTTTGTGATTTTGGATTAGGAAAAAATAGAATATACAAATAATGTATAATATTATTTATTCTTTAATTCGGTAATTGGTATCGGTTACTGTATATCGTATAATTTTTCATACGTCAGCTTTATAAGTATCGCATGAGCCTGAATGATATTGGTCATAAAAACAGGGGAAACACAAACGTTTCACGGCATATAGAACACATTATAAACGCAGCTTTGCCACGTGCACAAGGTTTTTTGAAACTATTGATGATAAATAAGTATACTTCGCCATCAGTAGCTTCATGCGTTTATAATGTGTTCTATGTGTTGCAAAACGTTGTGTTTTCCCTACTTTTATGACGAATATCATTCAGGCTCATGCGATACTTATAAAGCTGACGTATGAAAGATTGTACGATATACAATAACCGATACCAATTAAAGAATAAATAATATACTTTATTTGTATATTCTATTTTTTTCTAATCTCCAAAATCACAAAAATATTTTATTTCGGATCCTCGTTACGTTGATTTAATTTGCTTGCTCTCGTTGTATTGAGTTTTATTTATCGCAGTTTTTCATTACATTGTAAATGAAATGTGCATTTTTTATATATTTATATTGAATATCCGTTGATTACTATAAATTTGATTAATTTTAAATAGAAATGACATAAATATTAAAATTAAAACAAATTTTTTCTCGACATTGGCTGAAAAGTGCATCTTACTGCTTGGCTAAAATAATGTCTAAGTGATACATTTCACGTACTATATAAGTTTCGAAAATTTTTCGAAAATTACCACATCTGAGCCTCTCCTTGTTAGATTAGAAAAAGCAGCAATACAACAGATTGAAACAATAAAATAATATTATTTGATGATTATCATTCAACAATTATAAAATAGTCACGTATTTAAAGGAGAGAGTAAACTTAAAAATAATCGAAATATTAAAATAAAAATCAGATCAATTAAACGAGCAATTTTTAGATCAAAAATTAAAAATTATCATTTATTCATGGAATTTATTGCATTAATCTTAAATTCCTGAGACGTTTCGAACTTTACTTATTGTTAGTCACCTTCAGTCGTAATAAAATAAATTAGGACGATGTGAATAAGAGACACATCTAATAAGTCAAAGTTTAAAATTATTATACATAAATAAGAAGCTGAAGTTACAATAAAACTCGTTTCTGAAATATTATATATTAAAAAATAACAAAAAGGAATCAATTCCCAGGAGATCGAGTTTCTCGATAATTCTTATTTTTGTTTACTGGATGTATTCTCTAATAAGTTTTAAAACTTTAATTCTTTAAATATTGTAAACAGAACGAATGATATGCTATTTATAATATAATAACTTTTAATCTCGCTTATCTATCATTATCCGTACGAGCACAAAATATTTATCGGACACATCTCTCTGCGTGTTATTCCATTGTGAAATCCAAAGTAAATCTTTATGAATTCTTTTTCCCAACATACATTTATGTGTATATGTATATATACATATATTATTGCCCCTTTTGGTTTTTATTCTATGACTTTTTAATTGGTTACATAGTCCATTCCGTGTTTTTAATTTATAATTTTGTCTGACCTTTCTATTGGATATTATGGACACACACAAAGAATTTATAGATAATTTTTTTACAATCTTTATCTCTGTTGACTCCACTCTTTTTTGCTTGCGAATGGCAAACAGTTCCGTTTTTAATTTTTAATTGTAACATCAGCGTTATTTATGTATAATATTTTAAACTTTGACTTATTAGATGTATCTCTTATTTACATCGTCCTAATTTATTTTATTACGACTGAAGATGACTAACAATAAGTAAAGTTCGCAACGTCTTAAGAATTTAAGATTAACCCTTTATGGTCACACTTCATAATAGTTACACAATGGTCATACTGGGACAAATTGACCCAAGCCATTTTTAAAGTGTTATTAAATCAACAGTATTAGTTTCATTAATAATTTAAAAAAATTACAGTATATCATTTCAACCTTTAATAAAATAGAACAATAGCGTTTTAGTGAAAAATTTAATCTTAACATTAAAAAAAATTGTAAACATGTTAACTTCGAAAAAATTAATTTTTTTACTTAAAAAATCATAACATTTTAATTTTTAATATTTTTAAACAAAATTTTAACCTAATACTTTTGAGATGATGTACTTTTAAGAAAAAAATAGTATGATTATACGTGTTTCAAAAGAGGTATTTATTTTGAAGATTTCTGAAATCTAGCATGAAAGATTATGCTCGGGTCATTTTAAACCAGTGTGACCATGAAGAGTTAATGTAATTAATTTCTTGAATAAATGATAATTTTTAATTTTTGACCTAAAAATCACTAGTTTAATTGACCTAGTTTTTATTTTAATTGATTGCAAAATACGAGCTGATCTCTTTTATTATTAATATTATCAAAATATCTTTTCTTTTATTAAAAAAAGGTACATTATGCACGTTTGAACTGTGCCAAATGATTATGGAATAAATCCAAAAGTCCAAAATAAAAGAGAATGAACTTATAAAATCTCTCATGGTTTCAATATTTAGAAGCGGATAACCAAGAAAAAAAATTTAATTTTTTTCTTTTTATTTAATTTGTTATCTGGTAGCTTTTTACTTAATTTGAAATAAACAAAGAAAAAGATTTACGTAATTAAAAACATGCAGGAAATTATCTCTTTTTTTTTTAACAAAAAAAGTTGCTATTTTGATTATTTTTAAGTTTATCAAGAAACGTGAAAATGAAGTTTTTTTATAATTGTTATCTTAATCTCTTTAGAAATAATTGCATTATGACTGTAATGTTTAATTTTAAAAAATTATAATTCTATTAAAAATTATGAGCAAAGTTACAAAAAATAATTTTTTTTAAATTATTTAGAAAAAAGTATCAATCAAAATGTCAATCGTATAAGAAAAAAATTGTTTAAATGATTCGAATATATCGATTCAATGAAAAGAAGAACATTTCTTTGGTTCTATAATTATGTATCTGTATTCTGTCTATCAATTTGCAATTTATCTACTACAAGTTATTTCAAAGGACGCTTAAAAATTCTCTTTTACTAACTCTTTTAGTAATTATCGTTTCTCGAGGATAGTCGCTGCTACATTTCGTCTCTGTGCCACTATCAATGGAGCTATCTTTCGAGCCACCACCGCCACCACCACCATCCGAATCAATGACACTGCGCGACGGAGGAAATGGTATAACTTCATCGCTATCATAAACGGATTTTACAGTGATACCGTCGCCCTGTTGAACTCTTTGCGCCCATCGTCCCTTTGGCAGATCCACACCAAGAGATCTGACACTTGAGCTCAGCATTGCACTATCATCAACATTTGTGGTATTTATTTGTTTCTTAGCCCATAATGGCAACTGACCGACGCTAAATCTATAATCTACACTCTGAGGCGTTGGATTTGCATTAGGATCGAGGAAGTCCGGTGGAGGCGACCCGAAAGTTTCATTATCCAATCGCACATTGATTCCGTCACCGTTGACTTGGAGCGGTCTCCTATGAATACATTTGAGAAAGAGAAATTATTTCAGCTCAAGTTACACAATGATAATTAAAATTTACAAACAGGAGAGAAGAAACTACTCACTTGCCGGCGCGCATTGCTTGTTGAGCCAAACGAGCTTGCATGGTCACGACCATATCATGCGGAACACGCCATACAAACACACAGCCATCGCCGCTTGCAGATACAAGATGACGACAGTCTGGACTGAAGCGCAAACCTGTCACCAGTTCCGAGTGACCAACCATAGTAGCCATACATTCACCACTATAATAATCGTACACGCACAACGTTTTGTCTGTACATGAGGTAGCTACATAAATACCGGACGCATCTGAAATGCGTGAGACATCAAGATTATCAGCTGAGATTAATTTCGAACAATTTGTAGATAACAAAAATTGCTAATTCCCTAATTAATTGCTTAAATACTGGGAAATCTTTAAATAGATTAGAAAAAAGATAACTTTTAGTTTTTTAATGACAATTTGATTTAAAAAATTCAAGTTATTATTTTCAATTGTGATCATGATTCAGAGTTGGACACCTGCTCTTTATATAAAAAAATCTAAGTTAAAATTAAAATTTGAATAGTAACATCGGTCTTTGTTGATCTCTCGGAAAACAATAGCAAATCATCGAGAGTCTGTTTGCTATAACTTTTCTTAATTAAAATCGTTCGAAACTGGTTTTGTAAATTGTAGATCCTATATATCTGCTATAGGAAGGCGCACATTAGATACATATATATAGCTTTATTATAAAACAGTTAAGGCTCCTATACTTAGTCACCGCGGCCATATTCGAATCGTGACGTCATAAGCGAGAAATGACACATAAAAGTTTGTTGCGTGCCATTTTTAAATAAAGCAAATTTGGATAAAATAACAAAATGGGATCGCTTTAAAAAACTTGTAAAAAATGGACGAAAACTATCCTTTTTCCCTCTGACAGTCAGTAAATAGTAGTAAAAGGGACGTAAAGTGAAGCTTATTCAGACTAGAGTCCTAGAAAACAGAGATGCGACATTGAAGAGTATGGTCTGATTGGCTGTCTAAATCACATGACAAAGCACCAATCAAATGATCAAAGCGACCATTTTAATTCACTAATGCACCTAATGCATCAAGATACAGC